TGAAATGGGTGAATGGGTATGTTGTAATCTAGTGTATAAGGATCGGCTGAATTTGAGTTGGCCTGTAAGTGAGGAGGAGATTAGGATGGCAGTGGAGGGAATGAGTGTGGGAAAATTGCCGGGTATTGACGGTATCCCTTGCGACTTTTATAAGGAAAACTGGGAATGTTTGCATGAATTTTTAGTGGTTTTATTTAATGCCGTGTAAACCCTGGGCAGGTTGGGGGAACAGCAGAAAACGGGTGTGGTGGTCATGATCCCTGAAAAGAAGTCTTGTGAATGGAGTTTACCTGGAGAGAGTTCCGGGGATCAACGCCCCCGCGGCCCGGACTGTGACCAGGCCTCATGGTGGATCAGAGCCTGATCAACCAGGCTGTTACTGCTGACTGCACGCAATCCAACGTACGAGCCATAGCCCGGCTGGTCAGGTACCGACTTTAGGTGCTTGTCCAGTGCCTGCTTGAAGACAGCCAGGGGTCTATTGGTAATCTCCTTTATGTATGCTGGGAGGTAGTTGAACAGTCTCGGGCCCCTGACATTTATTGTGTTGTCTCTTAACGTGCTAGTGACACCCCTGCTTTTCATTGGGGGAATGTTGCATATGTTGAATATGTGCATGATTACCAATTGATTACCTTAATGTGTGGTGATTACAAGATCTTTGGTAAAGTGTTAGGAAATAGGATGAAAGGAGTCCATGACAGAGTTTTGGGTGAGGGTCAATATGGGGTGCCTGGGCGTTCGATGTGTGTGGGGCAAGGGATCATACGCAGGTTTATAGATGAAAGTGGGGGGATGAAGGTGGGGTATTAGCGTTAGATTGGCATGCGGTGTATTACTGTGTGGAGCATGAGGCGCTGTGGAAGTTTAGGTAATGGCAGGGGTTTGGGAGGGAAATCGTCAGATGGGCTAAGGTGTTATATGAGCAGGCTATGGTAAGGGTGCAAGTGAATGGTAGGCTAGGGAAACGTGATACGATGGAACAGGGCTTGCGGCATGGATGCCCTGTGTCGCAGCTTCTCTTTGCATTGCTCCAGGACCCGTTTTATAGGGCTGTGCGATGGGTTGTAAGGGATGGAGTGGAGAGGGATGGGGTGTCTGTGGAACCGGGGATCGTGGATTACGTAGATGACACCACGGTTCTATTCAGAAGGTCTGAGGATTTACAAAGGGTGGGTGAGTTGGTGGAGAGATTTGGCGTGGCAACGAGAAAGAAGATTAATAGGGGAAAGTCTATGCTTATGAGGGTGGGGGACAGAGTGGGTGGGGCATTCCAGCAGGGAGACGGTTGGCCCCTGGTTAGTCAAATTAAGGTGTGTGGGGTTGTTCACATGGGAAATCTTCAGAAGGCGCAGGAGGTGAATTCGAAAGAAGCAGTAGATAGGGTTTTGGGTAGATTGGTGGGATTGTGTACAGGGGGTTTGATGCTACACCAGCATGTTATTGTATGGTAAGCTGTGGCATGTGGCAGGTATATATCCCCTTGGAAACATGTGATGAGAAGCGTCTGTTGAAGCATGTGTATCGATATATTTGGGGTTCGGGCTGTGACTGGTTGTCGAGAGATGTGTGTCTACGGGTACGCCAGGGAGGGCTGGGGTTAATGGCGCTGCATCGAAGGTTGTTGGGTATGTACGTTCAACACAGTTATTTGAGGGAGGGTAGGATTGCAGGCACAGGCTTGGCATGGGTGAGAACGGATTTGGGGCGTTTGGTGAGGGGTAGGGATGTCCAGGTGTGTGAGGATATGTTGAGGTTATTGATTTTTGCAAGGGACCCACGCAGGGTCAAGATAGGAAGACTGGTTCAGGTGGGTGGTGGGGAGGTGGTTGTTAGGGTTGAAGGTATATATCCTATGTATGCATGGAGCGACATATGGCGGTGCTTGAAAGAGCGCTTGAAGGCTGTGGTGAGGGAGGTCATGTTCAAATTTCTTCATAATATATTGCCGTCTTGGGAAGTGTTGGGTAATAGTCGTGTGCAGGAGGGTAGGGAGTGTTGTGTGTGTGGGGATATTGACACTTTTTCATGCGGTATATTTTTGTACGAGGTTGGAACCAGTAAGAGAGTGGTTTAGCAGGGTTTTACGTATGGTGGGTGGGGGTGGGATTAGTGTTTTAAGGGCATTAAGCTTAGATGTGGGGGTCGTGGGAGTGCCGGTGCAGAATGCAATGGGTTATCTTGTCACGGACTTCGTGTATACTTCGTGGTGTTAAGACGTGCGCCAGTAAGGGAGCGAATCAGGACACTGGCAGCGATATTTTATGGGACGCAACGGCGGAATAAGGACATCACCGGGAACAGATGGTATTTCAGATTTTCGGAGGGATAGCATAGCATCTGCGTCAGGGACTTATGGGCGTTACAGTCTTAAGGGAAAATAATAAAGCTGACTTCTTGAGGAATGAGCGGGCGTGAGTGGTGCATTTGGTGAACCAAGGTGTGATGTTAGATGTGTGGGGTTGGTGAGTGTCTTGGTGTGATGTTAGATGTGTGGGGTAGGTGAGTGTTTGGGGTGATGTTAGATGTTGGGTTGTGAGCTTGTGTGATGTAGATGTGTGGGGTTGGTGAGTGTCTTGGTGTGATGTTAGATGTGTGGGGTTGGTGAGTGTCTTGGTGTGATGTTAGATGTGTGGGGTTGGTGAGTGTCTTGGTGTGATGTTAGATGTGTGGGGTTGGTGAGTGTCTTGGTGTGATGTTAGATGTGTGGGGTTGGTGAGTGTCTTGGTGTGATGTTAGATGTGTGGGGTTGGTGAGTGTCTTGGTGGACACCAACATTTCATGTAATGTGTTAACTGGGGATGGAAGTACAAACGTGGTTGTGGATAAGCGTAAAATGGAGCTCTCTTTTAAGCATATATGTTTTCTTGTATTTTTATACAACAGTAAGCCTCTTATATGATTGCATGTTAGTATAATGTACCTTGTGGCATGATGTATGAGTCTCTGTATTTCTTATGTGGAATTACAAATGTATTGTCTCTATATTTATCACTAGGGTAAGCTTTTACCACATGATTAGGTTGCGCGAGGCTTTGTTATATTTACTGTTTCTGTATTGTACAATCTTGTTTGTGGGCGCTTCCCGTAGGCACGTGTTTGTTGCGCATGGAGTGCAGCTTGGGTACGGATTCCACACACGAGGGTGTGGCGTGGGTAATGTGTAGGTCAGGGCACATGTGTGTGTCCAGGCCACTAGGGTGTGGCGTGGGTAATGTGTAGGTCAGGGCACATGTGTGTGTCCAGGCCACGAGGGTGTGGCGTGGGTAATGTGTAGGTCAGGGCACATGTGTGTGTCCAGGCCACGAGGGTGTGGCGTGGGTAATGTGTAGGTCAGGGCACGTGTGTGTGTCCAGGCCACGAGAGTGTTGCGTGGGTAATGTGTAGGTCAGAACACAGTCATATGTGTGTCCAGGCACTAGAGGTACAACTTGTATTGTGGCATAAGGTGTAAAAGTTAGTTCTCCAGTGTTATGTGACACTTTGTTAAATATCTGATTGTATTGATACCTTTGGGATAAATACCGTCATTATTATGTAATGCGTAATGTACGCCGTAAGTGGCAATGTTATGGTTAGGAAGCCTTGAGTGTAAGGCATTTGGGGGGAGGTGGTCAAGGTGGTGGAAGATTAGTGGTGAATTGCATAAAACGGACCAATGTGTTGTAGGATGGTTGGGTTAGAAGGTTCATTGGACCTCGTGTATTATCATTCTGTGATTGTTACGGTACACGGGAAATGTTTAGTCCAGGTATAAGGATACATGTTTGAATGGTACTTATATTATTTGTGAACTGATGTTTTGAAACATTATTTCTTGTCATAATATTTTAAGTATTATAAAATATGTTCCTAAACACACAGGCGATAGATCGAGCTATGTGATTATTTGGGATCCATTGTGGTGGAGGAGGTAGGGGTATATGATTTATTATAGCATGCCTTTCGGTGTATTTTTGTGGTACGATGACATTGGGCCACAAAGCTCTTAACTGATGTTTACTTATGTATGGATTATGAACATCTCAGGCGGCGCGATGTGTACATAGCGACTGTGAGAATATCGCACAATTTATATGGTGTACTGTGCTTATGAGTTCTATTTTGCATACCTGTTTGATAATGGATGGAGGTTTTCTATATATTTATTTATTATGTTGTAATATGGAGTTCTAAATAAAATATATATAAAAAAAAAACACTAATACAACACTGTACCATCACTACTTCAACTACTACCATAACACTGTACCATCACTACTACAATTACTGCGTCAACACATCAGAACATTCACCACTACAACTACTACCACAACACTGTACCATAACCACTTCAACTACTACCACAACACTGTACCATCACTACTGCAACAGCTAACAGTGTACCATCACTACTAAAACTACTAACACTGTACCATCACTAGTACAACTACTACCACAACACTGTACCATCACGACTACAACTACTACCACAACATTGTACCATCACGACTACAACTACTACCACAACACTGTACCATCACGACTACAACTACTACCACAACACTGTACCACCACGACTACAACTACTACCACAACACTGTACCATCACGACTACAACTACCTTCACTTACCTTCATCACCACCATAACTATCGTGAGAGCTTCCATCCTTCTACCAAAATTACACATTATTTTCAATTCCAGTAATGTTACAATCCCTACATCACCACTACAATTAGAACAACTTTCAGATCTACAACTATAATTAACATCATCTCAACTACTACCCTCACTTCGTCTACTACAATTACACAACAATTATCACCTTGTTAAACCACGCAACCATCACTGTCCACCACTATTATTACTATCACCACCACCACTACCACAACCTTCTCTGTAATTTCACTGTAGCCCCACTACAGGAGATGTATCGCACAGTAATATTATTCAATAATAACATTAATCGTAAATATTCTTTAGTTGTTCTAACCTAACTATATTTATGGTGACTGATAAATTGAGAACGTCAGATAGGCAGAGCTCAGTAAAACTCAAAGTTTCGTTCATCAGTGTTCTCTGCTGGAGCTTCACTATAACTATATTTATAGTGACTGTGATAAACTGAGAACTTCAGATAGGTAGAGCACAAGTAAAACTCATAGAGTATCGTTCCTTCTTTTTGTGGTACATCTCTGCGAAGGAATATATAAACATGGCAAGCTTCTCTTGTTCCAAGGAATCTTTCCAAGACTATTTGGTTACCTATGATGAATTGTTTGATTTGTGTGATCTGGACAACAGGAAGAGGCTAGGAAGCGGAGTGTCTGCTACAGCATATAAAGTGATTTTCAACGGTAAATACGCTTGTCTCAAACTTGGAAAATGTTTGGAGGATCAAGAGGCATTTGATGATGAAGCTGCTAAATTAGCCGAGCTGCAGGGAGCTGGTGGAGCTCCACTATTGTACTGTGTATGCCACAACTTCCCTGCTATTGTTATATCCTTCAGAGGCGGTACTACCTTGTATAATTATTTCAAGAATAACTACGACTTAAAGCTACAAACTTTGTTGTTGATATTCCTTCAGGTGGCACTTAATCTGGAGGAGATTCACCAATGTGGATTTACCCACAATGATTTAAAGGCAGACAATGTCCTCATTCATGAAGCAGAGGACGCCCTCGAAGTTAATGTAATTGATTTTGGGCACAGTACAAAAGTGGGAGAGCATATGGGCTGGGATTTTACCCCTGAAGAGCATGAAGATTACCCACACTATGCTCCTGAGGTATTTCTTTGTGGTCCATGCACCCCTGAAGGTGATGTGTATTCCCTAGGACACATGATGTTTGAACTTTTGGGCTCTTACTTTACACAGAGGAAAATTCCTGGCCCCTTGCATCTAATTAAATTGATAGATTTTATGATGAACCCAGAAAGATCTAGACGGCCATCCATCCTTCAAGTGATTCAAATACTTGAGGAAACAGTAAAACAGCTGCTGACCAATGCCACCCCACAGGTCGACGCCCCAGCAGAAGATGTCCCATCAGAGGCCGACGCCCAGTCAGAAGCCGATGTCCCATCAGAGGATGATGTCCCATCTGGGGCTAGTGCCCCTCCAGAAGCCGATGCACCATCAGAAGCCGACGACCCATCAGAGAATGATGCACTGCCACGGACCTACACCATGCCACAGCATGACTTGCCATCAGTGACTGACGCCTTATCAGAGACTGACGCCCCATCAATGGTCGATGCTCCACCAGTGGCCAACTCCCCATCAGACACTGACGTCCCACCACGGGGTGATACATTAGCTGCGGGATATTCTATAAAAAATATGACAAAAGGTCTAGCCCTACACTATGTCTTGTACATGGCACTCTCTTGTATGTATGGTAATAATTATTACCCAACATATAACGCTGTAGAGTGAAGTCCTGGTAGTGTAGTCGTCTCTGTATATTCTTCTCTACTCACTCACATTATTAATGTAATTTAAATACAATGAAATTATTTTGTTTTCATTAATAAAAGCGAATCTTATTTAAAAAATAAATTTGTTTTATTTGAAAGAATATTTTGTCTTACTTAAAAAAGATTATTTTGTGTTAATAAAAAAAAAAATATTTATATATAAAAAAAGGAACTCGAGGAGCAGCCACCTCCACGTGGTGAGTTCTGGGTATTTTGTAACTTGATTAAATCTCTTACAAAATAGCTGAGAGCTGCTCATAGTCTGCTGTGTATATGTGTACAAACTACACATATATACAAGCAGAGTGAACCTAGTAGCGACCAGCCAAGAGATGGGACCAGGAGCTATGACTCGACACTGCAACCAAAATATTTGTAGTAGTGATACTTGTAGTTGTGGTACATGTAATGGTGATACTTATAGTGATGATACTTATAGTTGTGGTGCTTGTAGTGGTGATACTTGTAATACTTGTAGTGATACTTGTAGTGGTGATACTTGTAATGATACTTATAGTGGTGATACTTGTAATACTTGTAGTGATACTTGTAGTGGTGATACTTGTAATGATACTTATAGTGGTGATACAGTGGTGAGTGATACGTGTAATTGCGGTACTTGTAGAGGTAAAACTTGTAGTGGTGATACTTGTAGTGGTGATATTTGTATTTGTGATGTAGTAGGTGTGATACTTGTAGTTGTGTTAATTGTAGTGGTGACACTTGTAGTGATGATACTTGTAGTGGTGATACTTGTAGTGTCGTTTTGTGATGTATACTGTGTAGTGTTGTGATGTATATTGTATAGTGTTGTGATGTATATTGTATAGTGTTTTGATGTATATTGTGTAGTGCTGTAATGTATATTGCGTAGTACTGGTATACGAATAGGGTGAAGCAACATTTATAAAATATGTTTAGAAATGTATATTAAACACTACCTATATTTCCATACTACAAAACGTTGAATAAAATTGACCAGATGCATAACCACTCATGAAAGCTTTTAAAGACGTTATTCCAGTTGAATTGTTTCTCAAAAATAATATATTTTTTTTTTACATATAGCACAAACAGATTAATTACCTAAGTTATCTGATCAGGAAGAAGAGGGAACTGTAACACATAGGAATGAAAATACACATAACATATATTCGCAAGTCGCAAAAATGCATGCAGGTTGCCTAATCCGATTGAACAAATGCAGTTTATTTTAATTTCCTTATGAAGTGAGGAAATTTGTCAGTAGTTCACTAATGTCAGCAATTTTTGCTGATAATTTCATTTGAGTCAAAGCTCTTAAAAATGATCCACGTTCACCAGGGTTGCAGTTCTTCTTAGTAGGTTCCTCACTAGTGGATAGAGAGAAGGGTAGGATTGAGTGGTCTCTTCAGGGTTGGGTTTGGCCACGGTATAGACAGAGGAATTGGTTAAAAAAAAGTTAAAACGTACCTAATTTAGCATATTTTGAGCTATTTTTAGGGTAGTTTTTGTGGGTTGAATTGGACATTTCTTTCTTCTAATGGTTAGTCAGGAAACTAGGGCCAGTGTTTTAACGAATGTTATTCGGCGATGTTACAAGCATATAGGCTAAGGGTTTAGCAGTCAGAGGCCCTGTCGTTATACCAGTACCTTGGTTCAATCCAGCTAGTTACAAGGAAGCCCGCCAAAGCTGCGAAGCAACGTGGTATGCTCGTGAAGCATCATTATTATTATAATCAAGGGGGAAGCGCTAAACCCGGAGGATTATACAGCGCCTGGGGGGGGATGTGGAAGGCATTCAGGCTTAATTCGGGGAACTGGAGCACAGATTCAATTCCCTAAATCAAGAGCCCCTCACCAACATCAAGGAACCTTCCTTGAGGGGTACTCGTGAAGCAGCTTTGGCAGACTTACCTTCTCTGCTGGTCGCCAAGGTTCACCGGGTCATGTGCTTGCATTTGCCTCATTGTACACAATTGTAAATACTGTACATAGCATATATACATTGTAAATACCAGATTATTTTGGTAAAGGAAATATATTAATTTATTCTCTGCTATATTGTTGCTCATTCCTAAGTAATTATTGAATTACGTGAAGGTGTGCACTAATTTTCAGCAAAATCATTCAGAGAAGCTATCATCCACAATCCCAAGGCACCTTGGAACTGTTTCACCAAACCCTAAAAACTATGATGCGTTTGTATTGTATGCATTTCCCTACAGCCTGGGATGAATCACTTCCTCTGTTGCTGTTTGCAATGTGAAAAACTGTACAGGAATCAACGGGGTACAGTCCTTTTGAGTTCACTTTTGGGCATAATATGAGAGGGCCCTTTATACATGCTTAAGGAAGGATGGATGGCAGAAGACGCCTGCAAAATACCTTACGAACCCTCATCGAAATAGTACTTGGCCTGTAATCTGGCCAACTTAAAATCTGCTCCGAACTACATGAAACAGAGGTATGACAAAACTGCTAAATTTCCAGGAACCTGTGCCTGGTCACAAAGTTTATGAAAAGATTCAAGACACCAATGAAGGTAATAAAGAAAAATTATGATTTAAACTACGTCGTAGCACCTCTTGATAAACCCAGTGCAGGTAAAGGTTGCTACATTAATCAGATTAAACTATTCTCTAAACCACCTAAAGCCCAAGTAATGACTTTGTCCTCTGTCCCTGATCATGTGGACGACCCTGATTCCGTGTGTACAGGTTCCCTAAATCAGCCATCCTGCAGGATCCTCGCCTCGTAATGTCAGGACTTGCAGAAGATCAAGCAGAAACCCTTGTGGAAACATTTCCCAACATAGTTTCGGTTTCTCTGAAAAAGTGCAGCCTGGGTTATCACAATGTGAACGTAGGACCTGCTAAATCTATTAAACACTCCCCTTCAGAGTTAATCCTGAAAAACAGAGGCTACTTTAACAGGAAGTTGCATTTCTGTTAGAACATGGAGTGGTGGAGGAATCGTCAAGCCTGTGGGCTTCACCATGCATCCTTGTTAAGAAGCCTGATGGAGGATTCCGGATATGTACCAACTACAGTAAGGTGAATGAGATCATAGCACTTGATGCTTACCCTCTTCCTTGTTTGGACAATATAGTGAACTTTGTGGGTAATGTCCCTTCTGTTTCAAAACTAGATCTCCATGAAGGTTACTCCCAGGTACCTTTAACAGATAAAGCAAAGGAGATTTCTGCCTTTGTAATTCCAGAGGTTATTATCAATATATTGTGACCCCATTTGGAATGTGGAACTCACCTGCCACACTCCAAGAATTGATCAAGCAGGCTATTTAAGAAGAGAAAGACAGCGCAGCTTATCTGGATGATATAGTTGTAGGTGTTGATACGTGGAATCAACACGTGTCCCATTTTGAATCCCTCACTGAGAGGGCTCAGAACCTTTCACCTCACTATAAACCTGAGTAAATCCTCTTTTGGCCAATCTAATATGAATATTTCCTTAGATTTATATAAATTAGACTCATTTATAATTAATAAAATTTGGTTAGAGTTTAATAATACATTGGACAAATAATGAACCTTATTTCTTGGGTAGAATATTTTGTTGGTGGGATGTCGTGAGGATCTGTCTAGTTGGACCAGCGGACCTACTGCAGTGTTCCTCTTTTCTTATGAGTCCGGTATTGTCGCGCGTCAGGTGTTTCCTTGTTGTGGGGGTTGACTATGAGGTGTAGTCTAAGCCTTTTAATTGCCTTCCTTTGACGTGTTACTTTCATAGTTCCTTGACAATGTGGGTAGTTACGAAAGCGCTTGGAATTTCACTGCTTTTTCACAGTGGTTGTTTTGCATATTTTAAAATCACCTGTTACTGTGATCTTATTGCATATATATATATATATATATATATATATATATATATATATATAATATATATATATATATATATAATAAATATATATATATATATATATATATATATATATATATAATGGGGCCACCTCCAATGTAAATTGTGGGACCCTTAGCCTCGGAGAAGTGGATAAAAAGGCTTCAAGGAAGAATATTTGGATTTCTTCCTGAAACCGTTTGAATATTCCACTTCCCCTAAAAACCCTATCTTTACATTTTTTTTAAACCCAATATATATATATATATATATAAAATATATATATATATATATATATATATATATAATATATATATATATATTATATATATATATATATATTATGTCGTGCCGAATAGGCAGAACTTGCGATCTTGGCTTAAATAGCAACGCTCATCTTGCCATATAGGACAAGTGAAAATTTGTGAATGCAATAATTTCACCAAAATCATTCTGAACCTAACGAAAAAAATATATTTCACTGTGTTTGTTTAGTATTAAATTACTGTAAACAAATCTAAAATATATTTAGTTGGGTTTGGTTAAAATAAATTGCTTTTGTTATAATAAGGTTAGGTAAGTTTTCTAAGATTCTTTTGGTGCAAAATGAAAAATTTTTACATTAACATTAATGAAAAAAGTATATCTTTAAATGTATACAAGAAAATTTCAGAAAGGACTTAATTTTAAATGAGTTCTTGTTAATTGACCAGTTTTACATATTCGGCACGATATATATATATATATATATATATATATTATATAATATATATATATATATATATATATATATATATAATATATATATATATATATTAAATATATATATATATATATATATATATATAATATATATATATATATATGTCGTGCCGAATAGGCAGAATTTGCGATCTTGGCTTAAATAGCAAGGCTCATCTTGCCATATAGGACAAGTGAAAATTTGTGTATGCAGTAATTTCGCCAAAATCATTCTGAACCTAACGAAAAAAATATATTTCACTGTGTTTGTTTAGTATTAAATTATTGTAAACAAATCTAAAATATATTTAGTTGGGTTAGGCTAAAATAAATTCTTCTTGTTATAATCAGGTTAGGTAAGATTTCTAAGTTACTTTTGGTGCAAAATTATAAATTTTTGCATCAACATTAATGAAAAAAATATATCTTTAAACGTGTAAGAGAAAATTTTAGAAAGAACTTAATTTTAAATGAATTCTTGCTAATTGACCAGTTTTACATATTCGGCACGACTATATATATATATAT